AAAAAAAAAAAAAAATGGAAAAAATATCCTTGGGGTAAGGATTAACAAAACAAACAAACAAACAACAAAAAATACATCCTCAGGTAAGGATTACTTAAAAAAACAACAACAAAAAATCCACAACTCGTCTCAACTGTTCTTTAGGAAGGTCCTGCAGAGGTGGGCAGTGAGTCCCGCTCTGTTGGTTTTCCTTAAGCTGGCACGGACAGCTCATGCTCTATTTGGGCACCGTCTGAAGAGCTGACTTGTTCTTAGGAGCCACATGGTGGGCATAACATCCATCTTCAAATGCTAGAACCCTCATGGTGCTGTGAGCTGCTCCCCCAGGAGAGGTGAGAGGAGCAGAAACTCAACAGCAGCACCCTCCCTCACCCCCAGCGTTCCTCACTGAGGAATTTAATATTATTTTTCTTTCTCTCTTTTTTTTTCCTTGCAGAGAATAATGAAATGAATCCAGGCAGTTACTGCATGATGCCCCTTCTACTGTAAAGGTACCTCAGGAGCTATTGAGGGCACATTTAAAGTTTTGTTTTTTCAGAGTCAGGGGAAATGAATCAGAATTTTTCCAAACCACAGAGATAGTAACCATGGCTTCCATGGAAGACAAACCCTATCCAAAGTATATGGTATGAGAGAGAGCGCTTTTGTTATCTAAAAAGAATGGCAGGATTCTCAGTTGTTTGAGGGATCATGAGCACACACAGACACACACACGTATGTATGTTGTGTGTATGGACAGATCATAGCTCTGAACCATTAAATTAAAAAAGGAATGCCCATTAGGTGTCAGCAATGAGATCTTTTTAGAGGGCCTCACTGGGCACAGCCACCTGGTGAAGACATCCCACTGCGAAGTTCCCACGGAGACCTTAGTGCCTCCCGGCCAGTCCTGTCCTGCGTTCCTTCCTCAGAGGCTCCACCTCGCCCCATGGAGAGGTCATCTGATCAACACACCTCTTGCACCAATAATACGACCATCGCAGTGCTTGGCCACACTAACATCCCCGAGATAGATGGTCTTCCAGATATGGAGACAGGGCTCCAGAAAGCTCAAGAACTACCAATGTTCCTGCTTTTCCTGGTTCTAGCCTTTTCTTCCAGCAGCCTAAGGCCTAAAGGAACATTTCTGAGAAAATCTTACTGGGAAGGCTGGGATATTTGGCAGTCACATTACTGAGCTTTCAGAGCCATGCGACTGCAACACACACTTGCGTGTCAAGTGTCACACCTATGTGAGCCCCAGCCAAGAACACGTGCACAGGTTTTTCTGAATAAAATGAAGATTTCATATGGAACACACACTCTCTGCTTTCTTCAGTCCCATTTCAGTCTCCATCTGAATCATTACTGCCGCTGACCAGTCCTTCATCTTTGATCCTTATGGGAAGGGGAAAGTGACAACTAAAGCAGTTGCCCCAGAAATGAGGGACCCTGAATGCCACCCCTTGGTCTCTCCTAGATTCATCCATGACAGAGCAGGAAGCTAACTTCTCTGGGGCCAATCATGTCCCTTTCCTGGAAAGCTCTCAGGGGTCTCTGCCTAACTCTCCTGCAGGTTCCCCTTCTTCACAACTTGGCCATGATCAGCTCGAGTTTCAACGGCAGGGATCCCTCATTCGTAGCTAGAAGGAAAGCTGAAGGGCAGAAGCCTGTCTTGTATAAACGATGTCCAACATCCTACTCTCTGAGGGTGGAGAGATCAGCACCCCCTTCCTTGAGATGGAGCTCACTCCCTGTACATTAACACCCTGGTTTAGCATTTAGATCCCTCCCTGGACTTCCAAGGAGCATGTGAATCTCCTGTGAGCTGGTGGAAAGTGAAGGAGGAGTGGTGGTGCCATTACCTGCAAGCAGGGTGCCAACTGTACACAGTCCCCTTCCTGCCTCAGGAGCGCCCAGTCTCCCAAGCCACAGGGCAGGACAGTGCCTGGGGTTGGGGCAGGGCAGGCAGGGACCTGGAGGAGAGAGGAGCCCTGCCTCCGATCCTGCTTGTGCTAGGAGGTCAAGCTGAGGGAGGGAAACAGAAGGGGCGGGCCAGCTGGAGAGCCTGAAGGGGAAAGGAGGCAAAGCTAAGAAGAGTGCGATAAAGTATTTCCAAAGGGCAGAATTGTAAGCGACATACACAGATAATTATAAAACCTGAGAATTTGGGGGTCCACAGGGATTTGGGCATTAAACATCAAAATGCCCTGAATTTACAGCTAGACACTGAAGCCTGGCTTGTCCCCCAGTTACTAGTGAAAAGCTAAGACTGGCCTTAAAAAGGTAAACCTCCAGCCCTGGCCAGTTTTGCTCAGTGGTTAAAGCACTGGCCCGAGGACTGAAGGATCTTGGGTTCAATTCCGGCCAAGGGCATGTACCTCGGTTGCAGGCTTGATCCCCGGCCATGGTCGGGGTGCATGCAGGAGGCAACCAGTTGTCTCTCTCTCACATTGATGTTTCTCTCTCTCCCCCTTCCATACTTTCTGAAAAAGCAACAGAAAAAATATATACACATACACACACACACATACATACATCCTCTGGGGATGACTTAAAAAAAAAGATAAGCCTCCAGTTT